TTTAAGCCTCACTGTTTCGACGGCTTTGTACCTTTCATGCAAGGAGGTGGGAACGCCTTCTTTACTGAAACCCCCATCCACACTCAAGCGAAGGGGGATCAAACGTTCGGCTTTGGACGGAGAGCGGGGTGGGGCGGGACAAGCGAGGACAGCCGGTTTTGAAAACCCTCCCTCCCTGTAAGTGAGTACCTACGTGATGTGATATGAGTGATGAACAAGGCGTGGGCTTGGTATCATTCAAGGATCCATCTATAGCTCGAGAAGCTATGGGGGGTAGGTGTGTAAAGTTCGGCGTTTTTTTTAAAGAATCGGCCAATCAAACTTATAGAAATTGGCCATAATGGTACTAGCGCCTAGGCTAACCCTGACATTTCCTCAGATTCCCATACAAACGAAATTCCTCTGAAGTTGACACACCCGCCCTCTAGGCCTTCTCGCGCCATAGTCATGAGAACTTCTGAAATCTCCACGTATCAGTAGTTCTCGCAAAGATGTGCGTGTGTTGTGTGTGTAAGGTTGGGAGATCTGGAGTGGTTGAGTTGCACTTTGCAGTTCTTGCCCCCAGTCGCAAAAGTAAGTAGAAAGCCCTTGTTTCAATTAACCACCAAGACCCAACGACGAGCTTCTTAATACCTCGTTAGTTGTATTACCACTCTAGACCCCATTACTTAGCAACCCCCCCCTTTTCTCTGATCACTTTTCGTTTTATCGCCCACTGCTAGTTATTCCAGAACAATCCGATGATAGGATTGCATGTAGCACATGGAGCAAGAGACACTGCACTACTACACACTTGTCTATGTGTAACCTCCACCCTCGCATTGTTTCGCATCCTCCTCCTCCCCACCTATGTACCTTTGTGATTGATTGCACGGTGCAATTTTTAAATATATTCAAGAGCTCACAATCGATGCCCGGGGAAGCAAGCGGCGGTGATGATTGTGCAACGGCAAAGGGCAGCAATGTGATACGATCCATATGCCCATAGTTAATTTGAGCGAAATAGCAGCAGCAGACAGCAGCTCAGGGTCCCAAATGGAAGGGAAGGCGATAATTGGACAAAACTTCCCACCACTTTGGACCACGGAAGGGGGATCAACCGTGGCAAACAAATGCTTTTTTTACATCTTGTTTCTCCTTTCGGGCATGAGGTTGATTGACGGCGACTACCGCAAGATTTGGAGCGTTGCACCCGGGTGTTAGAGAAGATCCTGGTATGTAAAAAGCACCAATTTTTGCTCGAACTGTGGCGAATCCTCCAGTTTTTGGTGAGAGAAACTTACCAGGATCTTATTTAACACCCGGGTGCAACGCTCCAACTTTTGCGGTATGCTGAATGGGATGACGTGACGTGACGCAAAACGGTGCATGCCATATCGGGGGGAGTACGAATATACGATGTTTAGATCTGTGGTTACTCTAATCGGGGGGAAAGAGGAGACAAGCAAGGGGAAGGAAGAAAAGGGTGGAGCGATTGGAAGTTTCTGGCGTCCGGCGAGAAAGCCACTACTGAGAGATTGCAAAGCTATCCAGAAAGAGCTCCGAAGCTGTCATTAGCTAGAGCCCGTCCAGGGCCGTTAGCTACCCGTAAATCCACAGTAGCGTGAGGTTCTATTTTCGTGATGGTCCATTACTAACTACGGGCTCCACTCAATCACCCATAGCTCTCCTGGTTCGCACTTTGTCAGACGGAGCGTGGAATCAACAGCAACCGTGATAAGCAACTTTCGGATGCCCGGCTTGACGCCTGCTAACCACGAGGGTGACATGGCCGAACGGTGACCGGGCTTGAGGCCCACGTTTAGAAGCGCCCTAGAAGCCGCAATTTGTTCATTTGCATGGATGGGGAATTCATGGGGACAGCTTCTCGAAGCCTTCCAAATTGGGAGTGGAGAAGTAAGTAAGGGTGTGGTTGGTGTGCGCGCGTGTTTGTGTGTGTGTGTGTGTGTGTGTGGAACTAACCGTTTTTTTTCCACGCCCAGCTTTAGTTGTGTGGAGATAATTTTGCAACCCTCAGAAATCAGGCAAAAAAAAAAAAACAGCCCTTACATGGGTTTACAACGGCCAAGAGGCAGAATCGGGCTAGGGTGCATATTCGGGAGATTTCGAGTCTCACCTCATTCTCGCTTTCCTCACAAACGAGATCAGAGAGTTATTTTTGATTCCGCGCTGCGAGCGAGTGAGCTGTGGATAGGGTGAGAGAACGGGCTATGGGAGCTCAGGAGCGTGAGTGAATGGAGAAATATTATGGGAGATTCTTTTCATAATTTGTGGCTGAGGAAGAGTTTGGGATACAGTTTTTTTTCCTAATCCGTCCCTTATCGTATTACATTGTTTCCAAACACGTACTCAGCTGGAATGGGTTTGTTTCATTGTCTGAATTTCTTTCTGCTGATTGATGCACACTTTTGTGCCCGCTGAGGTTTAACGACCGACCTCTCCAGTTCCACCATATTCAAAGCACTAGCTAGTAGCACCACCACAATTGTAACGACCGCCCTTCTCATCGATGCATCCTCATGCCTGTCCACATGCCTTCCTTCTTTTTCCCCATGTCTCCTCTACTCCCCAAATCCATGCCTGCCCAGCGGCTGTCAGTTAGTACGCAAATATCATACTGACATGCCCTCTCTCTCAACCCATGAAAGCGAGCATGTGTCAGCCACGTTCCCGCACCCTTTTTCTGCCTGTCGGCGTGTTGAACCACCATCTTCGCTTCCACCCCACCTATGGCCTGAGTGGACCCTTTTTCTGCCCCCCCCCCCCCAAAGCTGAAAGAAAAAATAGGTGTGTAATAATCGATCGTGCATCAGCCCCAAGATCCTGTAATCTACAGCTGCTATCCATACACCATCATCCCTCACGCTGTACTCTCGTCGGAGAGGGGAGGGAGGGAGGGATGTTGTGATTGGAAACAGCTAGGAGAGAGCTAGGGGATCATCATCTCAAGATATTCGTCGTCCCGGGTTCTTGGGCCTGAGAGATCTGATCAGCATCAGCATCACCAAGGCTTGGTTCGCTCTCTTACTCCCTCCTCTCACTATGATCACTCTCACTTCTGTGACGCACCCTCGCGCACTTACTCTCACTCGTTCGTACGTCGGGCGGGCTCCGCCTCTCATTCTCGTGCATGCACAGTTAGTGTAAGTCTGCAATACTCATATGTAAAGATGAGAATTCTCGTCAAAGCTGCTTCCTGCTGAACTTCTGAATACAGTTTCAGCGGATAGACGGGATCGGACAAAGAATAAGTTCTACAGATATTACCTACTCCCTACATAACGTGTACTTACGAGTCGCAGGGGTGGCGGGCAGGGGGGGGGGGGGGGTGGTAGGTGGAGAAGAAGCATCATGTACCTACATCGCATCGCATAGCATAGCATAGCACAATAGCATAGAATACTATACCATAGAGTAGGCGCAGAACTGTAGCTACTGGTATCTTCCTGGCGTTTCAACTTTCTAGGCGCAACTGCTATTGCATACCATACTAAATCCTCCACTTGGCGCGTTTTTGTATGATATGCAATAGCAGTTGCCAGCTAGTGCGTCCAGAAACTTCACCAAGATACGATCGACTGTCGCGCGTTTGGGTTCTGCAATAGTTATGCAAGTATGCACCAGCGTGTAATGTATGCGTATGCAATATTTTCTTTTATTCCAGAAACATGCGCTCCCATGCAAAAGTATCCCAACACCGTGGGTAGGCGGGAGAGTACCGTTCTGGAATGGTACACCCCTCTCTCGCACTTTCTCTCCTCCCTCCCTCCCTGTCCCTTTTTTTTCTCTTTGTTCCTGCGTCCAATGCATAACAATCGACGGGGTGCAACGACGGCTCAGGCCCTAATGTGTGAATTTGATAGAGTTGAGATTGCTTCTCGGTTCAGTTGTGTGTGATGTTCCCGGCAGCATGGATACATGAGTATTGTGAATGGATGACTTTTTGAGCGAGGGGGGTTGAGTGAGTGAGTGAGTGAGTGAGTGAGTGAGTGAGTGATTGAGCGTGTGTGGTCATCGTGTGTGGTGTGTTTTGCTTAATGACGATTTCATGGAGGGCAGCAGTCGAAATCTGACACAACTCGCTATTTCCCGCTGCCATGGTTCCTCCCACACACCCTGTGTCTCTTGAATAGACCCCAGCCCCTTGCACCCCTGGGGTGGTGGAGGGGTGGAAGTAGATGGGGGGACCGGGGGGTGAAGAGTGGGAGTGGGGGTGGGAAGGGAATGGCAGACTATGGTTGGATGTTGGGTTCGGAAATTTTTAGGTTGTTATGTTCTAAGTTGAGGGAGGGGGGGGGAGGTGTCCGGCGTCGGTGTCGTCTGGGGGGTGGGTAGAGTAATGGCATGGGCAAGGGGAATTAGACTGAAAGTGGGAGAGTGAGAGAGTGAGAGGATATTGTGAGAGCGCAGTACGTAGCGCAGTGCAGTGCAATGCATGTAGTGGTTAGTAGTAGTGAGAAAAGAGAGAGACTGAGAGACTGCGCCTGATCTCCCTTCCCTTCCCAGCTTCCCTTCCCTCCCTCCCGGTTCACCAGCAATAGGTACGGTGGTTTTTTTTTTTGGTACGTACATGTGTATCTCGGATATAAAGAAGGCGCTCGGACACCCACCCCTTAGGATCAATCAGAACATCTCAAAGCATCTCATTCGCAAGTGTCAATCTAACTCACTCACATATAACCAGCATCTCTCCCCCCCCACCCCCCAATCCTTTCTCCCCATATCCATTCGTTTCAACAGTCGTCCATTTCGTTCATTCATTACAACATCGGTCGTCCCATTACAACTTATTTATTTAACTCCTGCTGCTAGCTACTGCTATTACTGCTTCTTCAGTTGCATCATACTACTAGTTAATACTACTACTGTTACTACTGCAACCAGCAACCACTACTACTACAACTACTAGTACTACTACTACTGTCTACAGTTCAACGTCCCCAGCTATCATTACCACACCCAACTAAACTCACAACCAAAAAAACCAAAAACCTTCCAAAATGTGTATCCGCATCACCGAGCGCTATGCCGTCTGCAAATGCACCTACTTCACCCACGGCATCGACCAATGCCAATCCGTCGGCCGACAAGGCCACAACATCCAAGAGAAGACCGTCCTCGTCGGCTATGCCTGCCAGCACCACTCGCCCAACCACGGCCCCCACGGCCCGCCCGCCCGCATTGGCATCCTGCCCGACCTGGTCTCCTCGTCGTCCTCATCGAGCTCGGGGTACTCGTACCAGTAGAGTAATATAATATGCTTCTAGATGGAACAACAATTAATCATTGCGGGACAATCATGAAGTTGACGGGCTCTTCTCTTTTTTTCATACTGGGTTTTTTTTCTTTCGGGAAGCGGTTTTGTTTCTTTTGAGGGACGGCGCACGTCTTTTTTTTTTTTGCAATTGGGGGTGCGGGCATGGAGTTATCGATTTTTTACAACAAACCTTTTTTTGATATTCGGCGCACAATCGGGGTTTTTTTTCTACAATCACGCCTAGAGCGAGCGAGCCGGCTTTTTTTTTTTTCTTTCGTTCTTCGATCGACCTCATAGTCTCCTTCCGATTCGGTTCCTCCTTTACCTCCTCGACGGACAGACGGACGGACGGACGGACGGAAAACATTCGGAGATTTCTCGGGGACATTAGAGCAATTACTTTACAGGAGTTTTACAATTTTTTTTTTTCCGGCGGGCGGCTAAAGCATCTTTTTTTACAATTACACTATAGACAGGACAACAGGGGCGCAGAGTTTGTTTTTTTTCTTCTCATCTCATAGAATCTCTTCTTTTTTTTTCGTTTCATGGGGGCGAGGGAAAGGGGGGGGGGGGGGGAGGTTGTTTTACACTATACACGGGTTTATGGCGCATCTGAGTTTTTTTTATTGTGTGTGTGTGTTGTTTAGTTACTTAGAACACTTAATCTGCCACTTAATGTCTTGTATGCCTTTTGGTGGGGGCGCGTGGGGGAGAGCTGGAAGGTTGGATGTTGTAGTTAGATAGTTATGTATGTAGCTGGGCGCTGGCAATGATAGCTGGGGAGGGGGGACGCTGGGAATACTACTCTACTACTACACTACTACTTTGCTCTACTTTGCTACATTTCCAATTCGCTTTGATACCACTTACTAATGCATTGCATTGTGCTTCTGCTTGTGCTTAATTGTGCCTGTGGAACTTGTGCTTGATCTCGTTCGACTTCACATGACTGCCAATTACGCCGTAAGTTGTCCGTACGTTTCGCAATATCAATATCACTGCAAGCACGGGTCAAGCTATTTGCGAGCTAGCTAGCTAGCACTTGGGGTATGGCGCATTACCGCACCCTGGCAGAAGCAGGTACGGTACAGGGCAGGGGGGTGGTGGTTTGCAGGGGGGGTAGAGAGATTCGTTTCAAAACATATGTTTTCTGTTTTTAATCTCGTTCTGTATGTAGCTCAAGATTTGTTTACCTGGGTTTATAAACGATGTTGTCCGATGATGAGCCACCTAAGTTAGTTAGTGGCTAGCTAGCTACATGTAGCCAGCTAGTACTTATGTAGCAACATGTAGTTATAATTATGCACCTCTCCACTTCTCTACCTACTACCTCTCCACCTCATGATAAAACCGTACCACCAGGCCAAACAGCCATCCAAACAGCCTAGATCCCACAACTGGTTGATTGTGCCTCTCATTCTAGTAGAAACGAAACAAAACCTCCAAATTAAAAAAAAACCCGTTACCTGTCTCTACCCCCCAGCATCCAGGGTACCCCTTCACCCCCCCCCCCCCCGATCCACCCCCCCCCCCCCCAATCCCTCCATCTATCCGTTAGTCAGGCACAGAAAACCCGAGCAAAATATCCTCCTCCCTGCACACGCATACCCGCTAGCCCACACAGGGAAATCCCGGAGATTCGGTGCTAGGGGGGGGGTTATTGCTCTTTACTCTAGGTACCTACTCTAGGTACCTACTCTAGCTACTCTGTGTATAATAACTAATACAGAGACATGGAGTAGAGGGTAGATAGAGTAGGTAGAACATGCAGGTTGCAGCGCCGGTAGGTAGGTGGGTGCTGACGGTGATCGTCGTGTCTGTGGGCTCAACTTTCCAGCTGGGTTTTCCATTTTCGGGCGTCCTCACGCACGCACATTCGCTGGCGGTACGGTGTGCGGTGGGTTAGCTACAAGCAGCTTTGAAATGCTGGAGAAGCGACATGATACTGAGAACAGCAGTGCAGCTGGGAGAGCTAGAGAGGTGAGTACTGTCTGAGGTAGGTACGGTTGATAGCGCAGTGGTCTGATCTGTTCTGCTCTGCTCTACTCTAGAGTACCGCACAGCTAGCTTCGCTTTCACTGTTTTTCGGTGTCTGCTCTCTCTGGGGCTAGCTAGCTGTCCAGCCAGACAGACGGGATGCGCAGTCTACCGTAGAGTCAGTAGAGAGTCAGTAGAGTCAGTATAGTAGGTACATGTATGTGTGTACCTATGCGCTTAAAGTTCAACGGTGCTGGTTGGCCTGCGGGTGAAGATCCCTTCTATTCCCTTCCCTTCGGTGTGTGGTGGTTGTGGCCCCGGGGATTTGGGTCAAAGAGGCCGCGGTTTGGGATTCAAGATCAGGAAGGTTTCATGGGGCATCACTCATGCTCATCTCGTTAACGAACTTAACAACAACAACGATATTAACAACAATTGCAACACACGGACCGGAGAAGCTAGCTAGAAAGACGTGTCCGGAATTTGAATTGACATAGGTAAAATATAGAAGAAAACAACAAATGTAGGAACGTGGTTTTCCGGTAGTTTTTTTTTCTTTGGGGGAGGACAGACGGACGGACGGACCCCTTCCTCTCCCCCCATTTCTCGTGGTCGGTATTTAATGTTAATGTTAATTAATAATAATGTTAACGAGGGCTGGGGGGGGGGGGGGGGGAATCTGCTGTAGCATGATTTGATTTCTACCGATACATTGGGGCCGCTAGCTCCCTGGAGATGAATTCCTCGTGCCTCTCACTCCGGCGCTCTGTGTAAGGTAGGTAATAAACCAGCAAGATTTCCCAATTCCCATATTGTATATCCCTGAGGTCCTCCGCCCCCTGTACTGTAGCACTTTCTCTGCGAGTCTCCTCGTGGCCGGCCGGACCTCCCCCATTCCCATCCCATCTCATCCCATGCCATCGACCCCAGGAGATTGTAGAAACATATGGGCCTGTATTACGAATTGACCATAGCGGCCGGTCGACACTTGCAATACCTAACCCCCCCCCCCCCCCTCCCCTTTCCCCCAATATCATCGCCCCACTCTACACGATATACCCGCACGTACGTCCCGGCCGCGCGAGCGCGCAACCTCAGCTCAACTGTCCCCAATATTCGTCTCGGGATCGATCTCCTGTCTCGTGTCTCGGGGATGCGGTGCAATGCGTGCGTGCATGGGGGCCGGAAGCCGGATAGCTAGCTACATACATATGGCCAATATGGCCCCCATATTTTATGTGGGTATGTATATATATATGTGTATATATATGTATGGAGCTGATCTTTAATTGTTGAGCCCGCGCCCGGCCACCATAGCCACCACGGCGGGCGTGATTACGCGTTTATTGAATTCGATTTCGGGCCGGTGATGGTGATTGGCGGTGGGAGATGGGGATGGGATGGGATGGGATGGGATGGGATGGGAGATGGGGAGATGGGGAGATGGGGAGATGTGCCGACGACGTTATGTATGCACACACGTTGTGCTGGAATTTAATCGAATAGGTATGTATGTAATATGTATGTATGTGATGGATGCTGCGCATGCTATGCTATGCAGGCCCCAACGGCCATCACGGAAAGCTTAGCCCTCTTAGCAACAGCTACCTAGCTAGCTACATACATTACATGCCTAGATCACCTACATGTAGATTACCAAGTTAACAGCTATATACAGTCGTTCACCGTCGCCTTACGAATACTGCCAGTTGCAATGACGAACAGGGAACCTTGGGCCAATAGAAACTAAAAGCACTGGAGATCTCGCAGCTTGGGCTGTTGCTAGCTTGCCGTACTTGGAATCCTGTTCGCAATATTCGACCCGTCAAGTGACGGCGAACGACTGTAGCTCTCTCTACAGGTAAACTAAACTAAACCGCCCCGTACGTCACGACACAGCAAGACGACGCGTTGCGTGCAGGGAGCTCAGCTAGCTCCTTAACCCTAGGCCTTCCTGTCTATATCTGTAGAGTACTGGTGAGCAAACACAAATTAAATATATGCAAAACCCAAACCAGACCCAGGGGACGGACGGTAGGGACGGTAGACGCAACGGGTAGTGACCTGCATGCAACAGACACCCCTCCCGACCTCCCGGCCCGAGCTTTTTACCCTTTACCCTTCGTACGTGCTTTCCCTTCCGTCGCGATTTGTAATACGACAAACTACTTGATATGTATCTGTCCCCGCAAACCTGGGTAGGGAATGTAGAGTAGAGTGCAGTATAGTACTTAACTGGAGTATGTAGACAGATTTAGCCACACAAACCAGTGCCCGGAAAGCAGCTTTCTAGACTGCATGCCGATACAATACAATACAATCAATCAATCAATCACTCAACCCGGGTCTCTACTCTAAACCTCTCGTAGGCGAGACGGACGGATGGTCGCAGTTTGCGTACACTCTAGTTTGGGTGTGTTTTATTTTAAGTGTGGCGCAAAAAAAGACCGAGTGACACGCCATGACCGAGCTAGACTAGCACGCACTGGCAAACCGAACAAACCGCGGCAAACAGATTAAGAGTGCGCCTTGTTCTATTTATTTCTTACGGGACAAGTTCGTTCCGGGGCTTTCTGAAACACGTACTAGCTGAGCTTAATGTATGCATGTATGGGCGGGTGCATTGGCCAGCTACTATGGATGGAGTGGATGGGTGGTTGGTGCCGTTGCGGCCGGGTGGTGGGTGAGAACTTTAAAATAACCTCATCGGGGGGTTTGGTTTAGTTTTGACTCATGGTGCGTTACGTTACGGTGCGTTACGTTGCGTGTGTATATATATATGTGATTAGTAGTACTTGGAGGGGAGGGAGGGAGGTGTTTGTCTGGGCGCAGCAGTTGGAGGGGAGGGGTAATAATACTTATAGTTAGTTGTTGGGAGTTGTACTCGAATATGAGATGAGATGATTGTTGAACGGCTAGCTTGAGATCTAGATGTTGGTAGGTGTCTAGAGTGATCTGGACAGCTATAGTTTAATTTCTTCAGAGACGATTGATGATGATGATGCATGGAAG